CATGCCCACGCGTGCAACGGCAAACGAAGACTGTTACGTGGCCCTACCACAGTTAAAATTCCTACTTTCTTATGTCATCAGGGCCTTTTGAAATTTAATATGTCTGTATGATCGGTATATCCATAAGTATATGTAATAAGTTGGACCACAATTAAATATCTATATAGCAAAAACTATCTTCAAAGATGAAAATAAAAACAAGACAAGTAAGCAAACACACGTTAACGTTCTTGATTTTAATTTTATCCAGAATATTATGCTTCCAAAACCATACATTAATATTCCATCTATCAATTGACCCTAGTCTTTAAAAAATAATTAAATAAAAAAAAAAAATGTTATTCATCCAGAATAGCGCTAAATTTAATCCTAAATTTCAAATCATTATCTTTGTCAGGTGTACTAAGTCCCTTCTGTCTAGCTGCACTCGTGATAAGCTTTACGATGATGGTATATATGAACTCAATCTCAGCTACTCCATTCAAATCATTGCCATATACATTATTTATTATAACTCAATCCCTCATCCACTTCTCATATCAATTATTTACACAAGTTACAAGCTATGATAAGGTCTAAGGACTCTTGACATACATATTATCTGATTGTTAGCATCATTGGAATTTGCTTGACGCTAAGTACAAATCGATAAAAAATTACAAGGCTTCATAAGTTGTAGCGAAATTCCATCGATGTCAATGTTGATTTAAGGTGGAGCAAGTGTTTGAGTCATCCTTTGCATGCTGTTCAAATAATGATGGTGTTTCGTATTAGTTCAAATAATACAAGTAACAGTGTATTCTTTGTGCGTGGCTGTGCCTTGTGGTTAGTTACTAGCTCGCTATTATCAAGTAACGCACTGAGATTTACTTTATAATAATTAATAAGAAAATTATTAAGGTTTAAAGTTTTTAATTTGCCCAGATTAATAATCTGTATAAGACAAAAACTAATAAACCAAACAAACATGGCAATGGCTTGAGTTTTAGGTAAACTCTGGTAATCGTTACGAAATGCGGTTGTAAACTTTAAGGAGATGTCGTTTCTACTTGAACTCCGATGACTGTTTAATAGTTGTTTCCTAAAGTCTACGCTTTCATCAATACATTATTTCTCTTGGAATCTTATAGCAAGCGCTCTTTTGTTTCATTTTAGTAATATTATGGACTTTTGTCGTTTATATAAGTTTCCAAAAAAATTCGCAATACCTGCAATCAAGGTGGGAATTTGTTCGAGGAAGATCACTTGAAAGGAGCACATCAGCATATCACAGAAAAAGGAAATCGGTAGTTTGTTTCCACTGTTACATATACCGAAAACCGTTATGATACGTACAAACGTATGTATGGATAAAAGTAACAGCCTAAACATATTATCCCACTGTTGGGCAAAGCCCTTCTCGGCCCCACTGCAGGTTGGCGGACTTTACTTCCGAATTTTGTTTTGTTTATTACTTCGAAAATATGCAGGTTTCTAGATTACCAATTCACTTAAAATTACTGCCACCGGATATTGAACTGTTGCTCGAGTATATTGAAGTATTGAGTATTCGAGAGACACTGGGTTATCACAGATCATATGCATGGATAAATAGTGTAATTTAAAGTTTACAATTAATGATATCAAGAATTGTTCATTCTCTCGCATACTTCTTTTTACAGCTCAGTTTTTAACTCATTTTTTAACTTTTAGACTCAGTATTTCAATTAAACGACATAATGAAACTCAAAACTTTTGTAGCAGACGACTATTCTTAATACGCTGTGTTTCGTGTCTCATATTAAGAGACGTGGTCTGACCATTAACAATCAAGTAATCCTTCAGTTCATAGTAAAAACCTGTTTTTGTCGCTCGCCTTTAATCATTGTCTTTCATACATTTGTCAAACCTTATAAAAAGCACGCCAGTTAATTTATTTTTGTCGTCGAAGCTCCGGCGAGGACGGAGCGAAGTTGAACCGTTTGTCAAATTAATTGAGCGACCAACAGTGATGAAGTTGTAAGCGAGAGAAGTACGTTAAATGACTTCATGAGACGCGATGGCCTCGATAAAAACTAACTTTTAGTCGTCACACATTTTGTTCTTTTATAAATGAAAGAAATAATCTATGTAATATAAAATGTGTCCCATACGTTTCAACGTTATGTAAGTTATTCGTCCCAGCACTGGTGATATAAGATGAAGGCAGAGTAAACGCATAAGCAAATTTAATTTAATGAAGTACTATTTTGTCGATAGTGGGATTTCCAACATTTGGTTATTCGATTATTGAGTGATTCTTATTAATCTATTAGCTCTTCAATAGGAAATAAGTCTTTGGGTTTAGCCTTCAGTTTGTAAGAGACTTGTAACAGTTATAGTGCTTATGTTAGCATAGACATAAATTTCTAATTGAGGGGCAATTAATTTGAGCCATTTTTTATTTTTAAATTGATAATTTACCATTAGTTTATCACCTTATTACTTTAACCTAGGCTTATATTTGGCGTTGACAAATTATGTTACAGTAAAAAATGACTGTAACGAAGTAATTTCCCATAAGTGAAACATGAGATAAATATAAATTACTAAATAGAGAAATGAAAATTAATATGCATTTCGATACAAAAATACTAACTACTCGAGCATTGGTTAATTAATGGACTTATCTTATTGGCAATATTCAACTTAAATTTCTTAGAATTTTTCTGACCATTGTCTAATGAAACTATTTAACGGATTTTATCGCGTCTAATTAGATTTTTAAATTTCTGACGGTCGAACCCTTTCCAGCGTTCATGGTCACGGGACGGACTAACGCCCCATCTCATCTCATGTATTTAAATAGTTTAACCATCCTTTTGGCAGCAACTCAAGTGACATTGATTAGCTAATTTCTACGATGAGCAGTGTCTCAGAAACCGGGCGTGAGTTGTTTAACGTCTTAATGTCAAAGTTAACGCTATGGGCTACTGTCAATTATTTTATTATTTATTTTTGTTCCGATCTGTGCAAAAGGAGCTTTTGTTATCTCGAGGTCAAGCAGTATGGGTGTTTTTGAATTTATTTTTCATAAATTATGAGATCCCAAGCTGATGATAAAAAATCTTTTCATACCACACTTTTGATATTTAAAATAAACGTACTACGCGTTTCCCGACAGCCCTAATTTAAGAGTCACTTTAAACAGAAGTATGTGTCCTAAGTGAGCTCGTGTATCTTAAGTAAGCTCTACTGAATACAGATTTAGACATGCAACCACATTTGGCGTGGTTTAGTTCAAGCTTACAAAACACTTTTTGTGCGCTCTTTCTACGATCTTTAAATGAATCCGTTTGTTACATTTTACTATTTCAAGTTAAACCTATTGCACACATGTGGTCCAGTTATTTGCATTTGAAAGAGATCTGCATATCGGCAAAGACATAATTATACTTTTAATGGAGCATGTGAAACAAAACAACTGTGCTAAGACCAATTTCTCTAACGTTTTTTTTTGGTTACTATAAATCGAACCTTAGAATAAGAAAGAGTGTCTATGCTTTAGTTCAATTGTACTTATTCAAGTTATTTATTTGATAGGACAGTGATACAATTTCAACTGGCACAATATAAGGTACAATAAAAAAATAACAATCGTACTTATTTGTTAATAACAAAAAGGTTACGGAAAATAATATTAAATTAAAAGAGCATTCTTCTTTTTCTCTCTTCTGCACTTACTGTTGTGCCGACCCTATCCAGGTGGACTGGGTGGGGTCAGCACATCATGTGAGTCATTTTGTTAATAATATTGGCAAATTTTTCTCCGACTTTCTCCTTCTTGGGAACAAACGTTTAGACCCGAAACAATAATCGGTGGGTGAAGCAAATACTTTTCCCGTGTGGTAATCGACCACGACCCATGAACTCCAGCGTCGGAGCCTTTGCCTTAATACCGTAGAGTCATACTACTATATACGTAGAGAGGAAATTGTTGGACCTCACATATGTTCGAAATATTTTATTTCTTAATAAAAGTAAAGTAAAGTAACAGCCTATACATGTCCCACTGCTGGGCAAAGGCCTCCTCTATACAGAGGGTATCAGGGCATAGTCCACCATGCGGCCCCACTGCGGATTGACAGACTTCACATATCTTTGAAATATTTTTTGTTATTATTTCGAAAATATGCAGGTTTCCTCAAGATATCTTTTCTTTACCGTTGAGCAAGTGATAAGTCAGCACTTCAAATTCTCTTCTCTTTTTCATAATAATTCTTACAAGTATGTGAACTGTTACAGATAATATTTTCAACGCTGCTCACTAAAACTAAAACTGCCTACTAAAATGCCATCCGATTCGCATATTAGATTTGCAGTGTTGTTGTCGTCGTTTCTTTACTATGAGATCATGGGTTAGATGCCGAAAAAGATTGAAGATATATAAAAAAACCTCGTAGAGGTATACTTAAAATTGTGATTTTGTTTAAATCAACTTCGAATTAATCAATTAAAAGAATTTTAAAATCAACTGACTTCAATTGTTAAAGCCAGTCTTACTGTTTATTCATCCTAAAGCGTTTACGCGATTCAACAGAACTCATGTCAACTATGAAAATGTCTTGTGAATTACTAAATAAGTTTTCAAACGACACTTAACGAGGGATTCAACATTATTCATTTGTGTCTTTAATCGAATTTAGCGTCATATTTTGGTCGTAACTTGAAAATTCATACATAGGTCTAATAATGTGTAACTTTATTCTACTATTTTTTTCTTAAACTAGAAAGGTTGATTCAAGACATCCGTGATTGTTAGCCTATTGAAATTACCTGTTTAGCCTACGCGCGACGTTGATCGACGATAATGCGATATGTTCCGCTGAGTTTCTTTCGCCGGTTCTTCTCAGTACAGTGGCTTTCTTTTCCGAAGCGATTGTAATCCTCCTACGTTGAATAAAGGCATTTGATTTTGATTTTGTTACAAGGAACGTTCGATTGTCTAGAAGGCTTGTAAGGTCAAGCGTTGGCTGTTCCAGAAAGCTCCTTCGGGTTGCGGCACCTGATCGTGTTCCTTCTGTTCCTGGCGACCACCGTGTCGTACGCGACGCGGGTGAGCATGAGCGTGGCTATCGTCGCCATGACAACCGACAACGAATACGGATACCCGGTGAGTACCGACCGCTTCATCATCAACGAAATATAATGTCTATTGATCTAAATATTATATAAATCTAAGTATATAAACAATAAATTAATACGACCGATAATTTGATGACCCTAACGGCGTAGTGGGTAGTGTACCTGCCTCCTGCGCCGGAGGGTGTGGGTTCGATCCCCACTATTGGAAAAATATTTTGTGATGAATATAGTATTTTTCTAGTGCTAGGGTGTTTATCACATAGACGCGTATTTACTTTTTGTAGACGAAACAATGCCGTAGTTAGTTTGTCCTTATTTTTTAGTATGTAATTTATGTCTGTCACTATTCTTCAGATAATAATTTAGATTATGACTAACATACTAAATATTACAATAAATGTATTGAGACGCAACAATGAGTATATTAATCTCTTAAAAAGATCTCAGATACAAGATGTATAAAAACATATCGATCTATCTTCAACGGACTTGGAAAAAGGAGGCTCTCAATTCGGTTGTCCGCTTTTTTTCTCGTGTTTGATACCTTATAACTCCGGTTATTTATGAACCTTAAAAATAATTTGTTCATTTGATTTTTTGTTTTTTTTTATGCTTGTATAAAATTATCCCGTGTATTTAGGAGGATTAAAACACGTAAGTCGTTCGTGTTAAGTTCGTGGAGGCTTTTACAAGGTCATTAAAAATGATTAAATTCAGCTGTACTGCCGATATTAAAATGAACGCGACTGTATCCGCTTAGTTTCATGTACTCAAAATAGGTAGTGCTTGACAAACGTGATAGATTCGTCCGTTTTGCAAAAATTATAAACTATTAACAAAATTTTATCGTGGTACACGGCGCATCACTACTGTTGCCCCAACTACGAAACATTCTCGCACGTGACGGCAATACGGAGCGCGCGTAATGCCGGGATCGCGCCGCTCGCAGCCAAATAGGCCCCGTTTTATTGACCGGCCGATGGGTCGTACCGGATTTCGGGACGCGGTACCACGTTTATCGATAAGCGGTCCGCGATTAGAACTTTATCGATAATTCTCTCAAAGTACGCACGTGCGTGTTACATTTCAGCAATACTTTGCCAGATATTACGTTCGCTTTCAATGGAGTTGGTTAGAAAACGACTTTAAATTAAGCTATTGGGATGAGAAAAGATTTAATTACTTTGAAGGTATATAAGGGTTGAGTTGTTGAGTATCTATTGGCTGGATCATCTTACAAATATCAGTAAAGAAACACAGTTTGCAAACGTATTTATTAAAAAATAAAAGAAATATCAAATTACTAATAAATATATCAATATGAAATATACTTGATTATACTTTTTTGAGAAGTGCCCAAATTTTCACAGGAGGTTCAGACTCGGTAGTATAATCGTTTATTGAAATAAAAAAACAAAGTTTATTTTTTCAAAAAAACGATGCCATTCTATTTCTTAAAAAACAGAACGTGTTGACTGACAATGCGGTAGTCATTCATAAATACCTAAATTTTACTGTGCACGAACTTATGTGCGTGTTAGTTATGAATGATCGCTCGTAAAATAAATGAGTTGCGTATAAATCACGCACTTTTCGAGATAAGTTCAAATTAATGTAATTAATTACTTACGCGTGATTTTAAATATTTATCATTTTTCATATAACATTATTTATGTGTAGAATTTAATTTAAAAAATGGATACTCTTAGAAAAGCCACCCTGTATAAACTGTTAGACATAGAACTCTGTTTTCATACACATACAAGCATTCACAAGAAATATTTTGAAAGTTCTATAACTAATACTGAGAATAAGTATTAACGTTTGCCATTTTGATTACAAAACAATTATTTATCTAATAAGACCTATATTCGCCCCACTTCTGGGCAAAAGTATTCTCAGTACAGAGGGTATTAGGTATAGTTTAGGGTATAGTTCACTGTGGTTCACACAAATATTTGTTCCGTTTAAGAATCGAACTCATACAGAAGCCAATACCTTGGCTACAATTACATAATTATCTTACTTTATAATTTTTCGTTACTTTCGAAAACACGTATGTTTCGTTACGTTTAATTCACCGCAGAGCTCGTGATTATCGTCACTTAATTGCAGATAACTGGTTTATCATTAATATTTTAATTTGGGATTGAACAAAGGTTGTATACTAAATTAAAAGCGAGTGACCGGACACTGAGCTTTTTAAAACGGTGAAATCGTTATATTATACATTCCATAACGATTTTCAACTAGCAGAAAACGTAACTGTCACGAGGGAGAGTAATATATACATAAGAAAGGGAATACTTTGTTATCAAACAATTATTTTGTCTTACGGAGAGGAAACAATTGATATGAAACATTTTTGCTAACGCAGGGGTTGAATCTTCCGCGTCATAGTGATTTTTCGAACAAATCTTTCATACTCGTATATTAACCCATATCACTTGGACTTGTCGAAGTGTGGAAGTGTGGAAGATATATCTAAAAGAGCCCACAATATTATATCACAGAACATCTGGTTCTATTAGTAGTTTTTATGAATTGTAATTTCTTAGAGAATGTTTTGTTTACTTACGTTTTTTGAATCTGTAATTAATATACATATACTAACCATTTGCTCGCGACTGACTCAAGTCCAAGAATCGATAACTAGATAACTTCAACAACCGAGCATCGGATTTCTTCCCCATTTTCTTTGTCAGGTACTATGTCTAGTGTTTAACTCCTATCCCACCAGTTGATAAATAGGGAATCAGTCGTAAACTGTAAATGCACTAGCTCAGTGGAAGCCTATTCAGTATTCCTTATATTCGCAAACTATTTTATTCCTTTGCTGCTTAAAAAACAGACAGACCGCAAATTATTTTATTCCTTTGCTGCTTAAAGTGTTACCCGTGGGGTATCCGGGAAAGAATAGCACCCACCCATTTCATCCAGAGGGTGTCGTAGGCGGCGACTAAGGGAAAATTCCGGAAGTCGGGCAGCAGCGGCTTCCGTGTACATGACATCTATAACTGCGATCCCCAATACGCCTGCCAAGCGTGGGGATTAAGGCAAACCCCCCCCAATGACAGACACACTTTCTGCATGGCCCCCAGTCCCCGGCAGCTCCACTATTCCTGCCTTTGGCAGCAGGCAAGGTAACGGTGGAGCAGGGGGTGCCAAGAATCTCCGGCAGATGCCACGCTACCACCCCAAACAGACCTTGGCCCTGGCAATACACAATGTCTGCACGCTCAGGACTGACGAAAAGATTATCGAGCTGGAGGAGGAATTGAGCAAGTTGCAATGGGACATACTGGGACTATCAGAAGTCCGACGAGAGGGGCAGGATACGATAGTTCTGGATTCCGGCAACATGCTCTTCTTCCGGGAAGGAGACCGTAAATCCCAGGGTGGTGTTGGGTTTCTCGTCCGTAAGCCCCACACAAACAACGTAGCGAAGTTCGACAGTGTGTCGAGTAGGGTAGCGTACCTTATACTCAGAATCACCGATCGGTATTCGCTGAAGGTCATACAGGTATATGCGCCGACCTCGACACATCCCGATGACGAGGTAGAGGCTATGTATGAGGAAATATCAGCAGCCATACATACCTCCAAAACTTACTTCACGGTTGTTATGGGGGACTTCAACGCAAAGGTTGGTGCCAGGCAAGGCGATGAGTTGAGAGTGGGAGCATACGGATATGGGCAGCGGAACCAGAGGGGTCAGAATCTGGTCGATTTTATGGAGAAGGAGGGACTCTACTTGATGAACTCCTTCTACCAGAAGCGTCCGTCCAGAAAGTGGACTTGGATAAGCCCCGATGGTTCAACCAAAAATGAGATCGACTTCATCATGACGACCAAGAAGCGAATATTCAATGATGTCTCCGTGATCGGCAGGGTGAAAACCGGTAGTGATCACCGTATTGTTAGAGGCACATTGAATATCAACGCGAAGCTTGAAAGGTCACGCCTGATGAAGTCCAAGCTCCGACCTTGCCCTGCTCAAATTCAAAATTCCGAAACCTTTTAACTCGAACTACAAAATCGCTTTCAGTGCCTTGAAGAATGCGAATCAACGGACGAGATGCACAATGGGTTGGTGGAAGCTGTCCACACAATGGGTTCTAAGTTCTTTAAGGCCCCGCGCCCGAATAAACCTCAAAAGCTCTCCCCACAGACCATTCAATTAATGAAAGATCGAACAGAGATGAGACTGCAATCTTCAGTTGATATGTCGGAGTATGGCAAACTCAATAGACGAATCTCAAAATCTATGCGACACGACTTGCGGTCCTATAATACACAGCGTATTAAAGCCGCAATCGAGCGAAACCAGGGCTCTAAAGTGTTTGCAAGGCATTCGTGTATTGGGCAAAGCCTAATGACAAAGCTGAAGATCGACGACGGCAGTGTCATCTCATCGAAACCGGACATTTTGAGGGAGCTTGAAAGGTTTTACGGACAGCTGTACACCTCGACATGTAAACCCATTGTCAGAACAGCTCAGGACACCAGAGCTAGGTTGACCCGACACTACACTGAGAATATCCCAGACATCAGCCTGTACGAGATTAGAATGGCTCTGAAACAGCTTAATGTTCTTAAGCTGTTTCAGAGCTATTCTAATAAGGCACCGGGTGATGACGGAATTACGACTGAACTTCTGAGAGCGGGTGGAAAACCGGTACTACAAGTCCTCCAGAAGTTGTTCAATTCCGTCATACTTCAAGGCACCCCGCCAGAAGCATGGCATAGGAGTGTGGTGGTGCTTTTCTTCAAAAAGGGAGATGAGACCCTGTTGAAGAACTATAGACCCATCTCGCTCCTGAGCCATGTATATAAGCTGTTTTCTAGAGTCATTACGAATTGTCTTGAACGCAGGTTTGATGACTTCCAGTCTCCCAAACAAGCCGGGTTCCGGAAAGGCTTTAGCACCATAGACCACATCCATACGCTCCGCCAGATTATACAGAAGAGCGAGGAGTATAATCGGCCATTGTGCTTAGCGTTTGTGGACTATGAAAAAGCCTTCGATTCAATCGAGACCTGGGCGGTATTGCAGTCCCTCCAGCGATGTCATATCGACTATAGGTATATCGAAGTTCTGAAGTGTTTGTATAGAAACGCCACTATGTCCATCCGTCTACAGAATGAGAGCACGAAAGCAATCCAATTGCAGAGAGGCGTGAGACAGGGAGACGTCATTTCTCCGAAACTGTTCACGACCGCATTGGAGGATGCTTTTAAGCGCTTGGACTGGGACGGATTCGGCATCAATATCAACGGCGAATACATCACTCACCTTCGTTTTGCCGACGATATAGTCATAATGGCTGAGTCGCTGGAGGACCTTAACACTATGCTCAGGGACCTCAGTAACGTTTCGAGGACCTTAACACTATGCTCAGGGACCTCAGTAACGTTTCCCAACAGGTGGGTCTTAAAATGAACATGGGCAAGACGAAAATCATGTTAAATGCCCATGTCGAACCCATACCAGTTATTGTTGGGAACGATACACTCGAAGTTGTCGACCATTATGTCTACCTTGGACAAACGGTCCAGTTAGACAGGTCCAACTTCGACAAAGAGGTCACTCGAAGAATCCAACTCGGATGGGCAGCGTTCGGGAAGCTACGCGATATCTTTTCGTCCAATATTCCACAGTGCCTAAAGACAAGGGTTTATAACCAGTGTGTGTTGCCAGCGATGACGTATGGCACTGAGACGTGGTCTCTAAAAGTTGGCCTATTGGAGAAGCTCAGAGTCACACAACGAGCTATGGAGAGAGCTATGCTCGGTGTTTCTTTGCGCGACAGAATCCGGAATGAGGAAATTCGCCGAAGAACCGGAGTCACCGACATAGCTCTCCGGATCTGCAAGTTGAAGTGGCAGTGGGCAGGCCACATCGCTCGAAGAACTGATGGCCGATGGGGAGTAAAGGTTCTCGAGTGGCGACCACGAACCGGAAGACGTAGCGTTGGAAGGCCTCCCTCTAGGTGGACCGACGACCTCATAAGAGTCGCGGGGAACCGGTGGATGCAAATGGCAAAGTGTCGTTCGTTGTGGCGTTCTAAGGGGGAGGCCTATGTTCAACAGTGGACGTCTTGCGGCTGATGATGATGATGATGATGCTTAAAAAAATGTATTAACGTCTGGGATGAAATTATGATGTAACACGTTTAAATATAAATTAGCCTTATAAGAATCTATTCTTATCATAACTAAAAATATTATTTAAGTAATCTATTTGATTAATGTTAATTATTTTTTTGTCATTTGTTATTTTTTCTTTTTTGCAATTAAGGAGATTGTAGGTATCTCGTGAGAGCAATTGTTCTGTGATCTCTATTTTGTAATTTGCATGAGGGTATATTGTAAAAAAGTACAGAAAAATAGAATATACGTCAGTCTTGATTCAGTCGTCCACTTCTATTACAGCGCCCTATTAACAGATCACGCAACTCAAAAATTCGCCTAATAAACGGCAGTTTAGTTAGAGAACGTGGAACGTCGACGACAAAAGAATGGAACCTTTGCGAGCGTCTAGTCGTCCGAAGGTGGAAAGGGAAGTGGGGGAATTAAATGTTGTAATTCCGATGCAGACTCTCCAAAACGCAACCAGCATGAAGGAGCTTAGGAAATGTTAGCTAGTTTAAAGTTAGTTAGTTAGGTACTTAGTGAGTTTTGGAACCACACAAATAATTCACTAGTTTGAGTGATAATGCTTCAATATTTCTGTGTGTATTCTTTATAGGTTAGCAACACATCTGCATCCCGTCAGGTGCTGCAAATATCAATGGGCGGCGGTTATCACTTAACATCAAGTGATCCGCCTGCTTTTAAAAACATTTCCTTTACTTTTTTATGTCAAAAAGTGGCAAACGAGCTGTCCTGATGTTAAGTGATAACCGCCTGCCCATGGACATTTGCAACACTCGTAGGTTTGCAGATGCGTTGCCACCTCTTAATAATGTGGGCCCCGGCTGCCTCACTCACCAGATGAAACGCAGAAGTGCAACACTTCTACTTTACGCCGGTCTTCTGTGAGGTCGTGGTACTAACCCGGACGGACCCGCCCATTCGTGCACCAGCGAACACTGTTGCGTTGCCCTACCACCGTTGAGTTGTACCTACTTTAGGATAACATAATCCTGTATCGTAAGGATGTTTTACGAACATAAATTTTACGAGGACAAACACCCAGATGCGAAACAACTATCTGTGGCACAAATAGTTGTCCCGTATGGGATCGAACCCACGACCCCCGACGCCGAAACCAATACCTTGGCAACTGCACCACGGAGTCGTCAGCTTGCTTACTTGCCAATTTTTTACAATAAATTGCATATATTTACAATGCATTATTGTAAATATTTCAACAGGTGTTCGACTGGGAGAGAACAGTCCAGGATACTATCCTCTCATCCTTCTTCTGGGGTTACATTCTACTGCAGATTCCCGCCGGCATGTTGGCCGGTCGTTTTGGCGGGAAAATGTTCATATCCGTCGCTATGATCATCACTGGGATTGTCAATCTATTCACGCCGCTCGCTGCCGAAAAAGTAAGTTGGTTTTACTATTAAAGTTCCCAACGCCCCACTTCGAAAATTTCTAAGTACTCCTATTACTTGTTATTATTTAATAAACTAAAGGATTTATGCACATGCTAAAGAAACACCCATTAGGAAGAAACAAATAAACATTTTTTTATGTGTGTGTCTAATGCATCCAAACCTAGTTTTGTCTTTGAATTAAACGAAGTTTCTTTTCATTATGAGATTAATGTTCTAGTACAGAAATAAGGCTAAGGCGCTTTATTTGCTGGATCTTAAACTCGTATGGTGTGCTGTAAGAATTCTAATAGGCGATTCTTGTAGCAACAGTCGCAAATAAAGTAAAGAAAGGCTATAATAGGCTTTAATATAACATAAAAATGAAAACTTAGTAAAAAAATTACAAAGAAAAAAGCACAAGCCTATTTTCTATTCCATTTTTGCTCGAAGATTACATGTAAGCGTAATTTCAATATTCTATTTGCAAATTATTGAAGTAAATCTGTTAAGAAATACGTAATAATCATTATAACGAAAAAATCGTGTTCGTTAAGACCAAGTGTTTTTATAAATAAGACTAATAATTTTTATAAATTCTTAGTCTTACATTCAACTTGTGCCATGTACCAGGGTGGCTGGATGGCAGTGTGCGCTTGCCGCATTCTCATGGGATTGTCACAAGGCTTGCTGTACCCGAGTCTTCATGGTCTTTTGGGGCAATGGGCCCCTATAACGGAGAGGAGTCGAATGGGGACTTTCATCTATGCAGGTATGCTCCATGTTTGATTTAAGAGACGTTGAAGCGAGTTTCTCTCATGATAAGTGACCGTCGTGACCTTGAACACTCATTTCAGTTCATTCATTAGGAGTATCGTCAACCACTAGGTAGGCTTTAAAATGCCAGTGATTTGCACTTGACCTCAACTAAATTACAATATCTTTATTGAATATAGAGTCATTTTAATATCATTTTGCCTCAGCTTAGCGCATTCATGTATTTTTCGGGATCAAAAATTTAGTTAAATGGTTTTAAAAGCAGTCTTTCATTCCAAATTCCCTAGAGTCGTTGCCGCGTGAAGAGGAACCTGAAATGAATTTATACGTAAAAATTTTCGCGTTCCAGACAATAGTGTCGTTTACGGTCCAATCTCATTAGAAAGTTGTATTTTTTTTTATTTGTTCATTATGGACAAAAATATACAAAGGCACACTTAAATGTCATCAGCACCACTTCCCACCACAGTCCTTGTGGTGGGAAGAGTTTATCATTAATTATAACATTAAAAAAATCATTAAACTTTTGAAATGTCCATACCATAAACATATAAATAGCAGTACACAAATTTACACAGTTAAAAAAATTTAATATTCAATATTCAGTAAATAAAGTAAACATATTTAACTACACGATCCATACACACATTCATATATAAAAACATATTATTTATTCTTTTTATAATTGCCCTTACTTCAGGGTAACATTATCCTTTCACGTGGACAAACACCCAGAATCTAAACAAGTATCTGTTGCTTAACGATCCGGGATCTGCCCATGTCTTGAGCAAGAGCTTACAAGTTTTTCTTTTGACTGTTCTGATTTTGACATTCTTTTTATCAGGTGCTCAACTTGGCACCATCATTGAGATGATGATGGCTGGCGTGCTCTCTGCTGGGCCGTGGGGCTGGCCATCCGTGTTCTACGTAGCCGGGATCTCTTGCTTGGCACTAGCGGCTGTGTGGATGATTTTCGGTGCCTCTACCCCAAGCACTTGCAGGTGGATCACAAAGGAAGAGAAGAAATATATAGAGACAAACGTCGGCTCTACAGATATTAACGAACAAAAGGTAACATTCATTATACCTAATTTTTGAGAACGTAAAAGTTAGATATCTTCCATAAGATCAATTACCTTCGCACAGTATTGTAAAACATGGTCTTATAACACGCATTTTGGAGCTATTAAAATCGTAGTCACTCATAAAAGTCACAAAATAGTATCAAACATCAACACTTCTAATATATTCATGCTTGCTCAATATATACGATGCTTTGCTCAAATACAAACTGATGAATATGTCAGTGCTGTTTATATGTGTGTATTTTTGTATACCTATTTTAAGAATGTAGGTAATCCATGTTCACTCTCAGTTATGTGTAGCACTTAATGGAAGGAAGAAAAAAAAAGCACCGTTTGCAACGTAGTATACGTTAGTTACATGCTTGATTGCCACCACCTTTGTTAAAACGCTACAAAGCGTAAAATACAAAGCCCTTTAGCATTCCATCCCAGTCCACTCAGATGTAACATCTAAATGTACAAACTGTTTCAAAATGAGAACAAGAGGAAACGTTATACATGGTGATAAATTATTCAACTTTACATGGATTTATACATTTGAGATAAATAAATGTTTTCGGAGACATTTTTACGGAACATTCTCTAGTCCCAAACTAAGCAACGCTTGTACTATGGGTACTAGATAACTGATAAACATACTTAAACATACTTTTCCTTTGTAAATAAATACATATTATACATATATAAACACCTAGACACTAGAAAAACACTATGTTCATCACACAATACTTTTCCAGTAGTGGGGATCAAACCCACACCCTCTGATGCAGGAGGCAGGTACACTACCCACAACGCCATTCGGGTCGTCCAAGATAAATGTTACGTCTTATATTATGGTAAAGGAAACGGCTTTGAACATAGAAATATAAAGGATTTTGTACAGCTAACAACTTAAGTGTGGTAGAGCCACGCTAAAGTATTAGCTGTTACACTAATGGGCATGTCCGTCCGGGTAAGTACCACGAAGTACACACAGAAGACCGGCGTGAAGTAGTAGTGTTACACTTCTTTTACTTTGCCTTTCGTCTGGCGTGTGAGGAAGCCGGGGCCCACTTTATTAAAAGGTGGCAACGCATCTGCAACCCTACGAGTGTTTCAAATGAGTGGGTGGCGGTTGTCACTTAACATCAGGTGAAACGCCGCGTTTACCACTTTCTCATATAAAAAAAAAAACAAAAACTGAACTGACATGGATGCTGCACCGACAAGAGTCTAGCTCTTAAATTAATATCTTAAAAAGAATTTAACTTTTTATAAGATGCGACTTCACTGTTAAATTGCTTCATAGTATATGGTAGTAGCTGTAGACGATACAGGCCTTTAAAATCGTTATGAATAGTATACAATAGTATTGATAGTTTAATTATTTGGCAGAAAATGGCGACACCATGGAGAAGCATTTTGACTTCTTTACCTTTCTGGGCGATTCTTCTCGCGCACAGTGGCCAAAGCCTCGGCTTCTGGACTCTGCTCACTGAAATACCATCCTACATGAACAAAGTTCTTGGTGTTAACATAAAAAGCGTGAGTATCGAACGCAAATGATCTACAAAAAACATATTTATAAGAAGTATATAACTATGTATAATTGTTCTTATCGAATTGTACAAATTCTATTAAATTCATTTAAACTGAGAATATTTTATCCTTTTTGGCATGCACGAGTATTTGATATAAATATTACAAATATTTGTATTATTTATATCAAATACTCGTGTATATGTAGCGTACATATTATATAGGGTGGCTTTTCTAAAGGTGCCCAAATTCACACAGTAGGTTCAGACTCGGTAGTATAATCTTTTATGGAAATAAAAACAAACTTTTATTTAAATAATTGCCATTCCATTCGCTAAAAAGCAGAACTTGTTGACAATGTGGTAGTCATTAATCAATGCGTCGTATACTTTTGAAACGAACTTGTGTGCGTGTTAGTTATGAATGATCGCGCGTAAAATAAATGAGTTGCCCATAAATCATACACGTTTTGAGATAAGTTCAAATAAATTTATTTACTTAATTACAAGTGATTTTAAATATTTATCATTTTTTATATAACATTATTTATGTCTAGGATTTAATAAAAAAATGGATACACTTAGAAAAGCCTTCCTGTATAGAAAGCATTATTAAAATTTGATGGAATATCAACAATTTTTATTTCATTTTTCAAAAAATACATTAAAATAATGTTTAGACGTATATCTTTGAAATTCACAGATATAAGTACATTGTGTCTCATGATTACTAATAGCAGTTATTCACATTTATTTCTCTTTGTATTGATTTAAATCCATTCAATATAACCACATTACATGCCAGAACCCTTCAGTATACTGTCAACCTTGTCGAAAAACTTTACCAAAGCTGTCCTAGCTCGTGTCCTATTTCAATACCAACTTGATTCACAGAATGGGCTCCTATCGGCACTTCCGTATGTGGCGATGTACATCCTGAGCTTTATATTCAGCTGGAGTTCCGACTTCCTCGTCAACAGAAACATCATCGCTTTGCCGACCGCTCGAAAAGTGTTTAACACGATCGGTAATTATTATTAGCTTCTATTACTTTAACGTTGCCAGTGAACATTTTTTTTTAAATATTTTAGGACACATTTTATAGACAACATTTTCTAGTCCCAAACTAAGCAAAGCTTGTACTATGGTCGCTAGAAAACTGATAAACATACTTAAACATATTTTTATTTTGTAAATAAATATATACATATATAAACACCCAGATATAAGAAAAACACTATGTTAATCACACAATATTTTTCCAGTAATGGGAATCGAACCCACACCCTCTGGCGCAGGAGGCGGCTATACTACCCATTACGCCATTCGGGTCGTCGATTAAGGAAACTTTTATAAGAAGGAAAACATATTTCAAATATATGAGAAGTATGCCAATCCGCAGTGGGTGCAGCGTGGTTGACTACATAAATTATACCTTCTGTATAGTCAGAGGGTATTAGGATGTAGCATTACGTAAATTGGGCATATATTGAAATATTTTATTAATAGCCCATCATACTTTTCCCTTAATACTTAAGGAAAAATTAGAATTCATAAATTAAACGATTAATTTGAAGGTTTAAATGAACCTTTTCACCTTTATCCGTTATCTTGAGAGACAAATCAAACAATAAAAAAGGGACAAAAAGTTTGCATGTATCCTTAATATTAAATGAGAGATGGCAACAATGAATTTATCTGTAAGATTATAGCCATCATCATCATCATTTCAGCCTGTTTGAGTCCACTGCTGAACATAGGCCTCGTCATAGACTGTCACGAAGTACGATCTGAGCCACATGCATCCATACTCCATCTAGTGGGGGGGCGTCCTACACTGCGACTGCCAGTAGGATGCTGCCACTCGAGAACCTTTCTTCCCCAAGTTATATAAACTTATAGCCATACTTGTAAGCATTTCAGGTCGTTGGCATAGCAGTAGCCGAAGCTGACAGTAGAGTTACTTTTATGATCTAAAACTCATTTTTCAGCCTTCTGGGGCCCAGCCGCTGCCTTGCTCGGATTGTCGTACATCCCCGCTGGCCACCTCACCCTCGCGGTGGTCATACTGACACTGACTGTTGGGCTCAATGGAGCCCACTACGTCGGATTTCTGGTGATTAACTCCTATTATTAACTCGGAACAGAAAATTGTGCCGCCGTTATATTTTTTTTGTGAAAAAGTGGCATACGTGCTGGGTGAGCACTGTTGCGTGAACCACTTGTTTTGACCAACCCCTTGTTTTGGAACTGTGGTAGGGCCACGCAACAGTTCTCTGTTGCACGAATGGGCAGGGCCGTCCGGGGAAGTACAACGACCTCACAGAAGACCGGCGTGAATTGGAAGTGGAACTTCCGCGTCTCGTTTGGCGAGTGAGGTAGCCGGGGTTCGTTTAAATTAAAGATGGCAACGCCTGAAACCCTATGGGTGTTGGGTGTTATGTATTAACTAGTACAACCGGCATTGTATTCATGATTACAAATGAATTATTATTTACTATTAATATTAAAAAAGAAGGGAAATAAAATTCTCAAATATGTTTAATACTTACCTTGTTTGTTTAGTCTACTTTAGAAATTTAGTAAAAAAATCTAGCGGACTGGACAGACGTTGTCCCTCACACGACCTAAATTCGACAAGTTAGAAAAAAAAAATGTATGGACCGAATTGTGAATCTTCCATTTGGAACCATTCTCGAAACGACCTGAAGTCACACAAAAGTTTTATTAAAACCGGTCCAGCCACTTAGGAGTACAGTGACCTACACACGTCCAGTACAATTATATATTTATATAAAGACAGAGTTTGAATACATTTGATAGCAATGGTGCAACTCTTAATTACAGATCTCGCACATTGACCTATCCCCCAACTTCGCCAGCACCCTGATGGGTATCACAAATGGGTGCGGGAACATATTCTCCATCATGGCACCCCTGAGCGTGTCACTGGTAGTGAAAGATGAGGTATGATATTTTATCACAATTGTAATTTCGTTTAAATCTAAGTACCTGGAGGACCGAGCTGTGCTCGGTTTTTTTCTGGTAAATCATGTATTTTGGAAATAAAAAAAAAATAGAAAATAAAGAAAATGATCTGGTATAGAAAAATAAATATGTAAATGATCGTGATACGAACCGCGACCGTCTGTTTTGGTGCAGCCCGATTACTGACCGAGCCACTATAACATTTATTTTTACGGCGAAATATACTGTCATTTTCGAATGATATTTTTCATTCCCTGAAAACAGGGATAAAAGTACATTTTAAAAAAATGAAACCTAGCTAGAACGATTTTTCGCCCCCGATTCGTTTCCGAGATTACGATGATTTACATTATGTACAAGAATTGTTCGTTTAAAGGATAAGGTTAAAAATAATTGAATTATTAATCGTAGCTTCGCTATTAGAAGAATCGAGTTTTTTCCGCTCCAGTGTTTTAGCTGTTTTCTTTTAAATTTCGTTCACCCTGTGATTTACTACTAAATTACCGTCTAAATCTTTTTTGTGCTATCTGTAAGACGCCTTCTATAAAAAAATCATTAAATCATCTCAAGTACCCCATTAGGTACGTTAGTACAGAGTGGACCGAGCTTTACTCAGTTTGTTTTATATTTGGTAAATCGTGTATTTTGGAAATTATATTTAGGTACAAATTACCGAGTGGTGAAGTATGCATAGCATTTTTCGATCTTACCGACGTAATAATAAGAAAATATGAACTGGTTCTTTAAATAAAAATTACAAAATTTTAATAAAAAATCTCAACATTGTATTACAAACAATTGCTTATTTTTTACATTTTATCAAACAATTATACGTAAGCAGATTTAGTCATCACATTTTTAATGAAATCGAATCTTAATCTCAGTTTAAAGTCAGTTTGTGATGTGTTTTTACGCCTCTGTATATACCTATTTATATATATATATATGTGTATATATATATATATATATAAAAAAATTGCTCGTTTAAAGGTATAAGATGTTTCTGTTCACGCTGTTAGTGTTAAAGTCCATATCTTAATTTGTAGTACAAGATTCTGAAATACATTTCTTGTTACATTCCAGAATTTTATACTACAAACTAACCACCTGGTCTATTACAGAGCTATGTTCAGGCAAAACAGTATAGATTGTTATTTAAAAAGAAAAAAAAATCAGTTATAGATCGTGAAAGAAAATTACTAATAACCCGATAACTTTTTCCAGTCAAGCGCATCAGAGTGGAGGAACGTCTTTTTCATCTCTATAGCGTTCTATTTCCTGAGCAATCTTTTCTTCATCCTGTTCATGTCGGGAAAGGTTCAAGAGTGGAATGAACCGCAGCCTTCTAAAACTTTGGGTGAGTACGAGATGCCTTAGGCGAAATTGGACCGATAAAATTGGCGAAATGCTTTTAAGTAGTTCGTACTGGTGACGTAGTGTGCAGACGGATAGAGGTAGGAAAGGCAGAAGGATAATATCGCCTGAAATGGAGATCCGTTAAATGAAAAATGCGTGATTTTCATTTATGTGTGTAGTAAAGTAAAAGAATAAAAGTATCAGCCTATACAATCATGTCCCACTGTTGGCAAAGGGCTCATCTGTACGGAGGGAATCTGGGCATAATCTACGACGCGGCCCCACTGTGGATTGGCGGACTCCAAATTTCTTGGAAATATTTTTTTTATTATGTCGATAATAATATGTATGTTTTCTCACGATGTTTTCCTTCGACGCTGTGCAAGTGATAACAGCACTTAATATTAACAATTTCATTGGTGCAGGCACCGGGGCTCGAACTGGAGTATGTTATGTAGACGAAAATATTTATACACAAAGACGCTTAAAAAGACATGGTTTTAGTCTTATATGTGGAAATAAGACTTAACCCATGTATGTCGAAGGGTTACCTTCTATGTAGAAGGGTTGAGTTTATCCATTAAGGAATTGCTTATAAATTTAATTAGGCGTTTAAACTCCATACGACTTTTGCGTCCTCAGATTTAACATGATGTAACGTCTCTTACAGAGGATGGCGTTAAAGGAGGCGAAGTTGTCGACACCAGCACCAGTAAAAACAAAACAAACATCGAGAAGTTTTGATAGGAGAGTTTACTAAGTTAACCACTAGTCATATTTAGGTTAATTTTTCAAATTTCGAGAGACGATTAGTTTCATAATAATAAACCGATGGAACGTTACTTGGCAAGACCCTAAAGTATTGTACAAGAGTGAAATGATATCGATCATGTGAAAAGGTAAAAATTATATTCCTAATGCTATTTAAGGTTATTGAATAAATTAATAATCATAGATGAACACCATTATTTCATACTCATACACAAATGAAAGATTAATTGTTCAACATTCGTTTAAGGTAAAACCTTTGACACGATTGTTTGAGATATTCATTAAAATACTGCTTTACTTTCCGAAAATCAAACAAAACAATGAGAGGTAATTCCCTTATACAAACAATCAATCCAAGCTGTCGAAAATTCCTATTTTCTTACTTGTTAATTAATTTATTCTTCCTTTATTGAAACAATTATAACTTTAGTACCCACTGATTGTAAAATCTACGATTATATTTATTTAATGTCATAAAAATGGCTCCACAGTTTGTTCAAATTTTTGTAAATAAATAACGTATAATAAATAATGTTGATTTTTGTTAAAAAAACGTTATAACATATTTATATACATTAATAGTAAGTAAGGACCCAATATCTAGGAAAACTTTTTCATAAAAGTTCATCAGGCATTATATTTTGTTTTTATTTTTAAGTAATACTAAATTATATATAATAAATTTACTAAATGAAACTATTTTACAGACTTGTTGCGTTGATTTTTAATTTTATTTCCATACGTTTCGAACCCTTTTCAAAATCCAGACTGACCGGCTGAGGCGTTGGACGTCTTAATGTCATAGTTAGCCAGTTTTTAAATGTTTAATTTTTTATCAGACCTGCGCATAATTAATATCTTCTGAAAATAAAAATAGACGCAATAAATTTGTAAAAATATTCCATCAGCCTATTCTCGTCGTTATCACATTCCTTTATTAAAACAAATGTAACCCATATTATTACAGGTTATTTACAGATATAATGCGTTGAGTAAGGCTGTGTTGCAACCATTAATTTATTTAGTCCAAGTTTAGAAGTTGCCTGAAATGCACATTTGTATAATTTGTATCGAAACGCAAGTGCAGCTCAGATCATGGCTTTTCGCAGGCCGCGAAAGCCATTTTGTAAAATTGCCGATTTTGTAGAATCGATTCGCGTGCCATCTCCTGATTTTACAAATTAAATCTTATTGTTAATAAAAAAATAGTCATAATGACAGTCGCAAAATGTGCGCGATAGAATTATGAACGCCTACCGGCTAATTATTTAATATACATTTTATGTGATTTTAATTTATGTAACTTATTTTATTAATGTTTGTTTTATTTATGGAAAATTCCATGTAAATAAATACTATTATTTTATGTAAAAATAAATGACCTATCAGAGTTCTTCTATGCTTTTTACAAACAAACCCCTGTAAAATATTTTTAATCGTTCGAAATTTATAATACTTCATTCATAGGGAAACGTTCCTATTTAAAAGTACATCGCCAAAAATATGATTTTTTTTAAATAAATATTTCTCTTCATCTTTTATAAGGTACGTAATGACATTTGCTGTTTCCATTTTGTTCATTTAAATGTAAACTGAAATTAGCCCTCTAACTAAATTTGTTACATATATCCCTACGAATATTATAAACGCGAAAGTTAGTATATATGGATGTATGTTTGTTACTCTTTCATGCATAAACTACTCAATAGATTTTAATGAAACTTTACAATGATATAGCTTATCCATCGGAATAACACCGGGCTATAATTTATAAACATAGATTGATAAGTGTCAACTAAGTACGAAAAACTTCAGCCATCTGCGAGATATTCTGTTATAAAATAAAAAAAACTTATTGTTAATTCCCTTTGGCCGCGAGTTAAGCAGCGGTTAACAGCTAGTAAAGGATAAAGAAACATATGAATTAGACTTCTCCTCGATTGTCATAAAGTGAAATGAAATTTTAACGATTTTATCAATGTCGTGGTCAGATAAATACAAGTTTAAACGAAATGTTCTGAAGGATTTTAGGAATATTATAAACAAACCAAAACTGCGTCTTCCGATTTTGCGCTTAGATGGTATTTAGTTCCAACGAACTATGTGACTATATCAGCCACTGAGCTAAAGATTAATCTGAGTACAGAAACATGCACTAAAATGAGTATTAATCCATATAAAAATTACGAAAAACAATGTCATTATTACAACTAAATTTTGTTTTGACGACGAAACTAACCACTCAGTAAAAGGACAGTAATTGAGAGAAAGAGGAAAGTTTATATTCCTCCAATCAATTGATTGATTGATTATTTAGGATTGCGAGAGGTTTCGGGTTTTCAATAAATTATAAGTAAAGGTTAGTTTCAGAATCAGAATGTTATTATCTCTCTATCAAATTCTGTAATGAAATGTCAAATATTGTTATAGCTGTCTTACAAATATAAATTCATTTAATTTGACTTGGCTTGCAGCCACTATTTCACCCACCACTCTACCAATATTTGTATTTTTTTACAGAGATGTAGGTTACCCCACGATGCGATCTTTTTCTTCACCGCTGAGCACGTGGTAAGAGACGACACGTAAAAAACGAAACAACGCTTAAAATTAACAATTTCATCGGTGACGGTACTGGGGATTGAGCTCTGATTGCAACATTTAACTGTGGTACGACCAAGCTAGAGCCTCGGCTGTTGCACGAATGGGCAGGTCCGTCCGGGTAAGTACCATGACCATACAGAAGACCGGCGCGAAGTGGAAGTGTTATACTTCTGCGTTTCGTCTCGTGAGTGAGGTAGCCGGGGAACACTTTATATATAAAGGTGGCAACGGATCTGCAACACTACGGTTGTAAATGACCATGGGCGGCGGTTATTACTTTTAACATCACGTGAACCGCCATCTCGCTTGCCACCTTCTCACATAAAAAAGCTTCTTAATATGAAACGTATTCAATAAAATATTTTGTAAGTATTTCAATTAACGTAGATGAACTATGTAAGTTTCTATAAAATGTTTGAAAATAATAATTTAATTAAGAGTCGTAGTAACGTAGAACGTAGTAGCGACTAGTGAGGCATATTTTTTTGAGACGCTAATTGAATGATCGGTCTGCATAGTAAAATAAACCCTTAATTTGTTAAATCTCCTTCTTCATTCCCACCTAAGGGATGATCGGTTCAATATGTCAAACATATTATATGCCAAAAGCCAACTCTCAATGTGAATGTTCACTGTTTAATGTTCAATATACAACCGAAAAGCTTTCACTGATAGAGTGTTTTCAATCTGAAACAACAACGCTGTTGACTATCAGGTTTATATTTTACTAGCGACCCGACCCGGCTTCGCACGGGTGCAATGTATTACACATATAAACCTTCCTCTTGAATCACTTTATCTTGTAAAAAAACCGCATCAAGATTCATTGCGTAGTTTTACAGATCTAAGCATACGTATGGACAGACAGACAGTGGGACGACTTTGTTTTATACTATGTAGTGGTTACGTGACAGGTTAAACCTGATTTGGTGTTGCGATTGCACGTAGATGGGAGTGAACACATACTATTCTGTGGCCCCCCGCTTGTTTTTTTTTTTTCTTTTTTTTTTAAAAAAATAACATTGCCCTTACTTTAGGCTAACATTATCCTGTGTTGTAGGGACGTTTTACAAACATAAATTTCACGCGGACAAATACCCCGATGAGAAACAACTATATCTGTGGGTCACACAAATAGGTGTCCCCTGTGGGAATCGAACCCACGACCCCCGACGCCGAAGCCAATACCTTGGCAACTGCGCCACGGAGTCATGTTTATACCTCTGTAAAAAGTTTTATTACACGAAACAGCTGTACGCAAAACCGAACCGAACACACCTTCACATAAGCCAGCTATGATGATTCCGTAGCGCAGATGTCAAGGTATTGGCTTCGGCGTCGGGGGTAGTGGGTTCGATTCCCACACGGAACAACTTTTTAAGTGAATCATAGATAGTTTTCATCTGGGTGTTTGTCCACGTGAAAATGTTCGTAAAACGCCCTTACAACACAGGATAATGTTATCCCAAAGTAAGGGCAATATTTATAAAAATTACTAGGCCACTTGTTCGTTTTAGATACGTCGGCATTTCCAACATGACCCGTTCTATGTAAATCCCGCCTTACACTCAGCACGTGCGCCCCTCCAAAGGGTGGCGATATGAAAATTATGCAAAAAGGTTCTCGGCCCGAAGCCGCTCGCAATCCAACCTAAACGTGTTTGAAGACGCGACCTGCGTTTATTGGAAATATCTTTAGTCTCAACAGTTGCGCCATATGTTGAAAGAAAACAATATCACACGAATAACAGATTATTTAGCTTTTTGTTTATTTCGACGAAATTTTTAGAGTTTATATATCGGTTGTTTAATTCGAAAGTGCAAACATTTTGAATATCTGGGATTTAGCATGTCAAGCACGTCAACCCACCCCAAGTTTCAAGTATCGTGTACTTGAAGTAAAAAACTCAAAGTTCATAAGTTTATTGTTATACTATATCACAAGAATCGAATTAAATAAACATTATTTCTGATTATAACAATTTACATATTTTTTGGTATGGTACAACGGGAAAGATAAGTAATAAAAACACACATAGTTTGAATTGCTTGAGTTGATTGTATGGTATTCATTTCTGCCTAAAACCACTTACCGATATGCTTTTTTCTGCAGTTGTAAACGTCGTAGGGAAACCGGGATAACCCTCCGACCGAGTTCCCGCCTTGACGTGGAGGAGGGGCTTAGTAGCCGTGTCTTAGTCACCCACGGCGAAGCTAAGAGGAACCCACACGAGAGGACCGCTCCGAGGGGGCTCATTGTACCCACTCTGGATGCGTTAGTTGGTGTTGAGTCCGACATAACCTGCTCTTGCTCACGCAAGGGTGGGTATGCGTAGGCATTTCCCCTACATTTTGCACAAACCTCTT